TACATCTATTGGGTATAAGGGTGTAGCCTATATTCTTCAGCCCGAGCTTGGTGACCAGTTTGTCAGTGTTTTAGTTCTCAGTCTTGTTCCTCTTATCTACATCACATTAGTCATCCTACACCACCTGATCGGGAGATTCCGAGGACAGAAAGCAGAGGATGGACTCAGTTCACTGCCACATCGTCTGCTGCACTCTGACCAGTACAGAGACAGCTTTGGCTACATTGCCGCTGCATCATCACATGACACTGAACAGTAACATTCCCCGTGCACCCTAAATCACTTCTTGTAGTTGGCAAAATATTGCAAAACAGTGATGTTTTTTGCTTTGAAAGAATCACTTCCAGTTGAGGTTTTTTTTTTTCAGTTGTTTGAGAGAACATTATCGGTTGTGCTTGTTTCATACTGTAGTTTTGCACATTTTCACAGCAGTAAAAGTACTTTGCATGCTGGTAATGTGCCAACATTGTGTGCTTTCTGCTCCTTTATTTAATTTGTGTTAAGTTTGTAAAAGTGTTTAGCCATCATTAGCATCATGCGTCATGGATGCTTTTTGAATCTTACGACTCACTAATGAGCTAGCAACAGCACAGAGTTTGTTTGAAAACCAAGGTGTGTCTAATTTTCGTACGCATCGTGAAGGTTTAGAACTGGACATTGTAGTCCAAACTATCGTTATTCTTAAGAACATATGTTTCTTTAGGTATATATATTATAGTTATGCACAGTTATGTACGAATTTTCGTTATTTTGTATTTTTACCGTAAATGACTTATGCATGAGATAATTACTGTTACAAATTTCTTGTCAGCGTGTCTGTCAGTTTTGTTACCTGGTTTGTATCAAGATTTCAATGACACCTTCTGATTGAGCTCATTTGTAGTTTCGATTAGCCATTACCACACTTAGCTATGTCAAAATTACAAACGTATGATTTTAAAACCACTTTTGATCGCACTTTTTCCATACATGATGACCCCATGATTTCATGGAGTGTGTTGCAGTTCTAGTGCCAAGAATACACATTTGTCAACTACGAGGTGGAAAATGAAATGTCACAACAAACAAGTCAACTACACCCAGGACAGCCGTTTTTTCCAAGGAAGAAGAGCTACACTAGGTGGGGATTCAAACCAACCAAACTCTGTTGTCTCGGTTAGCGCTCTACCAACTGCGCTACCAGGGCAACTCAACCGATTCATATCTTCAACACAATGCAACACAAAGTCAATTCAATTATGTATTTATACCTAAATCAATTGCCCCACACTAGAACTCTTTGGCATTAGTGTACATAGATTAGTGTAGAGTCGTGATTTTATGGACTCGCGCACTCAGCACAATTCGGGGTTTCTTGCGCAGTTGTCCCGTTGTAATGTGTGAGCGAAGTGAGCCCACCTTTTCTTCTATGTAATGGGCACTGCACATCCGTAATGTTCTACTTGATTCTTAATACGTGTGAAACACATGAAAAAATTAAACTGGTAGCTTCGCTTGCCAAAAATGTGTTGCATTCCTATTGCATTGTCTTGCGGACGTCGGTGTTGTCTGTGTCTGTTTACAGGTGTGCAACTTTACCAATTACTTCTCAGACGCCGTCTGCTGTGCTACCTCATCCACCACTACAACCCCTCTCTCCTCCCTCTCCACCTCATCAACATCTACGCCACTCTCTCTGAGGTGCGGTACTCAGGCACTAGGCCTAAAGCGAAGACTACTTACTACCAGTCTGTTTAAAGGGATTGTGGCAAACTTTTGCTATTATTTTTATCGCGAACATTGCCCAATTACGTCCCCAGGTAGAGTAGAAGTGAGTCAACAGTTAATTATGCATACACTTTGGACAACTAGACAGCCACGCTCGGTGAGGTTGGCAGAAGCCTTCCATATCTTTCTTTCTTCACCCAATACCCAACACATTATGAACGATGGGTATCATGTGGAATACCTCATGGAAAGCAATCACTTTATTGACCGGCTAATTAACTGACTTGATGATGTTGCCCAGTGCACATGTGCGTGTGCCCTCTGTACTGGTTCCAATCTATCCAAAAAGCAAGCAATATGGTTACATTATAGGTTTTCTAGAATTCCGGTTGAGAATCATCTTATGACAGTTGGTCTAGTTCTCTCTGTACACTGGGCAACATTAATGAATCAAGTCAGTTTGTTGACACAAACAGAAGATAATGATGGAAAGAGTCTTTCTCTCCACATCACACGTATGCTGAGTTTTCACTTCAGTATTATACATGTGTATGTTCAGGAAGAAAAAGAGGTGGCTGGGATAAAACAGAGGCCAAAGGATGGAGGGAGCAAATGAAAGTCGAAAAAGAACAACAGCGAGAAGGAAAAACAGAGTAAGAGGAAAGGGTGAAGGTAGTCAGAGCTAAGGGAAAAGGGAGCACCAGGGTTAAAGAGGGCAAACCCTGTTATTACCAGAGTAACACAAGCAGCTGTGTATGTTCAGTGTACATGTGTTTCCCTTGTACGTATAGGTAGAATATGCAGTGGTTACGAGCAATTTTGTGAGCGACATTACAAACTCACACAAAAACTAATAAAGAGATATGCGGAGCTATGTAAAGCATTTAGAAGGTTTGCGCAAAATCATTTGCATTGCAAATACAACCGCAGTGTACGTAGACATAATATTGAGGACGGTGTATGTTTGCCAGCCAGTGATGGATTCCTGGGCCGCCATGTCTCAACACAGAGAAGATCCCGTGGGATTGGTAGCTAGATGTTTTGTACACACACAGTTGTCAGACATAAGCTTCACGTTGACTACTGCATAATTTTTACTATGTACACTACGTGGGGCGGCACTAATAGGAACCACGATAGTGCACCACGTTTTTACTGCGTAAGTCATTTTATTATTTTTCTACCACGTTTTTACCGCTACAAGTAAGTCATTCTAGATTTTTCTACCATGTGTTTACTGCTACAAGTGAGTCATTCTACCTTGTTTTTTACGTCCAGTAAGTAAGCTAGATTCTATTTTTCGATTTTTCTACAATGCTACCAATTTCTTTTTTGTACCATCTGTGTTTGTGTATATATTTATATTTATATTTATATGTATCGTACTCTACATGTGTTGTCGTGACTGTACTATCGTACAGGTACTCACTGTGTGGCTGTCATTGTTTGTGATGTGGAGTTTGGATGCTGGGTGTGTGGGGAGAGTTGGCTAGCCATAAAAGACTCTTTAACCCACCACCCCAGTTCTCAAGGCTGGGCACCCAGTGTCCTGCTCTCATGTCATGTCATGTGTGTGTGTGTGGATATTTTGGGGTTTGTAAATATGGTGGTGGTGGTTTTTTTATTTATTTCTCTATCTATCTATCTATCTATATACCTATGGCTGGTATGCTATGAACTATAATTTCATACTTTGGAGTG